CCCCACACCCCCCTTCATAATTGCATGAAAATTGAGAAAATCCAGATTCAAACATGATATTTTTAACGGTTCTAAAGAGAAGGAATCTCATATATGTCAATCCATTAGAATTTCTATAAATGGTATAGAAGAAGGGAGATGATTAAATTATACAAAAAGTATTAACGAATAATAAGATTACTGTTTATCGGGAATTTTTCGCCGAGTTAAACTTTCGCCCTTCGTCCATGAAATGAACTTTCGAGCAGTCTTAATTTCGCCCTTCACATTTAATTCATATATGTATTATTATTAAAGGCGAACATGAAAGTGCACCGAAAATTTCCCGGTATACAGTATTGTCCAATCCATTATTTTTACGACGAGTATTCAAATAGAAGACAAGATTCTCCTCTGATACATTGATTCAGCAAGTAAGCTGAGTAATGATACCTAAATACATGTAACTGTCGGCATCGAGAACAGAGAAGAGGGGGCCACCAGCTGAGTCATCTGTATGAACCTATTTTAAAAAGAAACTAAGGGGCGGAAAGGGTAAACATATAACCCGTCATTCTGACTGTCTGTAGTATTAGAGTGTTATTTGGCAAAATGTCTCGATATTCTCTGACAGCTGACTTAAATGACTCGGCACATCGTGGATTCGTGAGTTGCTTTCAACGGTTTAGATTCGAGACAACTGTCATTTGGACATTATGCTTGACAAAGGAATCATAAGTTTTCAAAAGAGACTTACCAAACAATGATGAATCCCATTCCGGATAACAAAATATTTATCTCAAATTAACTACATAGCTTTTGTTATAGAAACTTTTTTTTTTATTTGATGGACAACAGATTTTCGAGATATTTACCTCACCTCAATTAGAGATCTTCGTTAATACAGACTGTGTCTTTTATAATAAAACCAACAAGACAAAGTATTGCAAGGCAATCAATAGTCCTCCCCAGGTGATGATTTCTATATTTAACGAACAGTACATTTATGTCAGGAAGCAAAGGTCACAGTGAGGTCATAGTGACATTTGTCTTGCACTCTGCACTCCGCCTTCCCAAGATGTCCTTGTACATGGCATCTGGTTCCTCCAGGTGAAATAATATAGAAGATAAAACTATGTTCCAGACAAACTTCTCGGACGAACAGAAAGACAGAAAGACGGAAGGATGGAACGACGGACGGACAGACAGACGAACGGATGGAACCGGTTAGGGACTAAAAATGACAACATGAAGTACATGTAATTAGTATACAAAGTAGCATATACTGTTAATTGATTATAA